TGCTCAGGCTATCAAGACTTTTTGGCATGAAAAAAACAAGAAAAAAGAATAGTGCTGCACTCCAGTGTGAGCGGGGTCATACCCTTGCTCTATCATACCCGTCTCACCTTGGCACACAGGTGTCAGAGAGCTGCCTGCAGCTGAAAATAACTCCTGCAGAGCAGCTGTCAGACAAGTTGGTAATACAGTGAAATCTTGACATGGAGGGAAATCATTTCTTTCAATAAATTACAGTAGTTCTTGTTCAGTGGTGAAGAAATATCATCAAAATGCCACAATGTTGTTTTGGAAACACGATGTTGGCAAAAAAAAAAATTGTATCTCTTCAGATGAAATCTGCAAATCACGTTTGTAGTTATCAAGCTGAAAATTGACACTTGTGAATACTGATTTTGTGAATCATAATGAGCATGACAAGAGAAAATATCTCACCAGACAACCTTGCCTCTTGGAAATTATGTTTATATTGTTCTAATTCGCTCTACCAATTACATTGGTGGTAAGGGGCGTAATTGTCGCCTGGGATTATGTGTGTAAGTGATGTGATCTTTCTAGCGTGAAAAGTGCAACATATATGTGTACATTCAGATGCCAGTTTATTGGCCACACCTACCTAACACTAATGCCGTCTAACACAACAGTCCTGCAATAAATCCTCCTTCATGAAGGTTGTAATGTTCAGTTTGTGCTGAAACTGTTTTAGAGAGGTTTTGATTCAATTGTGATTTTGGAGGCTGTCATTTGAACTTGAACAGTGTTTCTATTATTCAGCCTGCTGTTACCAAAATCAATGGGGGTGGACAAATTAATAGAGACACCTGTCAGCATAACGTGGCCTGTCTCATGCTCTAGTGTTGACTTTTTCAGTATTTAACCAAAACTAAGTGTTTCGAGTACCTTAACAAAACCCTTAAAAAACCATGTTAATCATGCTCTTGCTACTATGGGCAGATTCTGTAAGAAAACAAATGAAACATCTTGTCAGGGAACGTTTTGCTGATATGTACATTACCAAACTTTAGCAATTTGCCAGTGACATTAATTCACAATCTCATTATGTTGATAAAAACGTAATCTGAGCGGCAGTACATTTCCTTCAAAATGAATTTGCTGTTAGTAGTATATATTAAAGTAATTTCTATGAGACAGGGTTTCACCAGATGCACTTGTAGGTTTTTGATATTCAGCACAACAGTATTAGTTGAGTTAGCTGGGTAAACATAAAATACAGGACGCAGACTGTTTGGGGAAAAAACCAATGTGAAAACGAATGACTGAGAGGGATAGAGAGAAACACTGCTGTTGACTCTGTTCAGCTACAATAGCTCACTATATCTTACATCCTCTCTTATTCCCCTTTCTTCCATCACATTTGCTCAGTCAGTTTGTCTACCTTCTACCTTTTAACTCTCTCCCTTATAACCTTCACTGCTGTATTATGGTGTTCTGTTTAATAAATCTTTATCATGTGCGTTCCTTCTCTCTCTCGCCTTCTCCTCTCCTTCATTTCCCATGTCTCTTCCCTTGTTGTCTCTCTCCATCCCTCTTTCCTTCCACTTCATCCTTTGCCTTCCCCCCCTGGATAGCTGTTGTAATGAACCCATAAATTGGAGCAACACAGCGGAGGCTACAGGTCGGAGGTTGGGGGAGGATGGATGTAAGGTGGGACGGGGGGAGGGGGAGATTTGAGTCTGACAGAGGGAGAAAGAGGAGAAAGAGCGAAAAAGGGGGAGCAGGGCAAGGATTCATTCTTGCAGACAAGGGAAGAGATATGACTCCAGTTGGAGAAGAGACAGACTACAAGGGGAGAGACAGGAGGAGGAGGAGGTGCAGAGATGGAGGAGGAAAAGAGACAGAGAGAGGCAGGGGGGAGGGGGCATTGGGGGAGGAGGAGGCTCCATAAATTGGTTCAGGAATTAATTTGCACTAGGTAAGGTATAGCCTTGGAACATGCCATCCCAGTCAGATGAGAGGTCCTGTGGAAGGGAGACTGATCACAATGGCAGCATATGGTGGAAAGTGGCAGGGTTGCTGGTTTCGGGGGCGGGTCGAGCAATGGGAGGCAAAGGGAGAGGTTTATGGTGGAGTGGCAGGAGTGGAAGAAAATATAGCAGAGACAGATGAGGTCCAGACAGACAGACAGACACACAGACAAACACCAAGCTCAAATGTACTGTGAAACACAAGCGGCCACCTGGCAACTGCGATGGCCCCACTGGAATGCCGGATAATGATGCTGTTGGGTGCTAAATATCATCAGTGTGTGAACACTCGTCACTTTGCAGCATTTCTAATTACTCTGGTGGTGTTGAGCTAATACATATTGGCAGCACTGTAATATTCATTAGCAGATAAGATTCCACAATGTCTTAACTGCAAATGGAAAAGTTGGGGAGTAATTGTAATTTCTTTTAAATCACGAACAAGCTTGCAAACGACTTTGGATATGAGCTAATACATTGTCACTCAAGCATAAACTTTTTTTTTTACACTTAATTTGAGAGATTGATGGTGATGGTATAGTCGAATGTTTATCCCTTATGTCTTCCTTAAAATGGGCTGCATGAATCTATCTCTGTGGCATTAAAATGCAGATAAAATGACTCATTTACATAACTCCATAATCATTTCTCATAGCCTATATTGATTCCATTTTCACTTTCAACATATGCAGTTAGCAAAAGTTTTCACAGTACAGTTGACACCTGAAGCCAGTAATACTGTGGGCGACAGGAAGGAAGAGAAGGCAGGATGGGTGGAGCAGGAAATGAATGCTGTTGACTGTGGTGCTCAATTTGCCATGCTGAAAAGCATTAAGCTGCATGGAGGCAAAACTGTGCTTAATACCATCAAAGCAATCAAGGCAGGAAAAAGGCAAATATATAAATAGCAAAAAAAAAAAAAAAAAAAGGCATAATCTCACACCAAGCCATGCAAAATATCAAGAACTGCTCACAAGAAACCAACACAAGAAAATCAAAGAAATCTCATCAGAGCTGACTTTCAGAGAAAAGGAAAAACAAAAGACTTTAGAGCTGAAATTGAAACAGAACTGATAAATACTGAAACAAGCTGCAAAGGTGTCTTATAAAAATGATAATAATAACAATAACAGTAATGATAATACAGAAAAAACAGCAGGAAGCATTGTTTTGAAATGTGAAGCCCTGTTGCCGTTACCTGAGCATGAACACCCCTCCCCCCCCAATAAAAAATATAAGAAAAAGGAGCTTTTATGATTGCAAGACGGCTTTTAGCTTTTGTTGTATAGCATTCCTCACCTTTCCTCGTGAGGCTTGAGTAACGTTAAAGCTGCTCAGGTAAAGGCAACAAGGGGAGCGACAGCATGTTGTGATGCTGGCTGTAGGCATGCTGTCTGAAGTCTCTGCCACCATTGTGCTTGGATCTACCCACTGGTGCCTTACTGCTTCCAGCTGACATGTCGCAGTCACTGCTGTGCCTCTGTTTATTCCATAGACAGTAGACGCTGAAATGTGTGCAGTGGCAGACTGAAGCAACGCAATGTCTTATTTTTCATCTTTGTAATTATGAGAGACGGTGTGTTTTTAGTACGTCACAGTTTGTGCCTTTCATGTTTTAACATGAGATTTGAGTATCTGATAATACAGAAATATATACATGTTGATCTCACCTGTCAACACATCACTGTTCTGTAGGTATTTCCAAAACCTTCAAAGACTCTTTCAACCATGTGGATGATATTTTTGCACAATAATCTATTTATTAGGTTGCAGCTGTACTTCCTATACAAGCAGCCAAGTAGTGCAAACTGAGAAAGGTGATGTGTTGACATTTCCGGCAGCCAGGTTTTGATGAAGAAAAAGAAAACTTTTTTTTTTTTTATGGTGCAAAGGACAATGTTTTTTACATTCAGGTGGTTCGAAGTGGAAGGGAGTCTCTGGGGATTTTGGAAATACACTCAGAACAATGGTAAGTGGTGTCAATTGACCTTCTGGCTTTGTCAAAATCTTTTTATATTTTTCACAAAATTGGATTCTTAGCACTGAAATTCAAATGTGTTGTTAATACATGACAGGTACACACTGAGGTAGTTTTTGCATGAAAAGACACACTGTAGGACTTGTTTTTTTTTTCAAAATAATGACAAAATCTCTTAATTAGTTCATTAGCTGCTCTTTTCTTTCTTTCTTGAAATAGTTTGTCAAAAGAAAGTATGTACCAGGCCGCTAGGCCTCATGATGAATCACCATTATTAATAATCGAAATCTCCTTTGATGCTGCCTCTAATATCACAAACTACTGTATGTAATACTGCTGGGATGTGTTGCATGTTGTGTTAATGGGATCTGTAATAGGTCTATCCGTATGATTAGGGGACAGAACATGGATCAGCAGCACTGCAGTGACCCCCCCCCCGCCTGATGTGTGTCGTCCCTCTCGTCTCTTTCCCTTCCCTCCTTCTTTCTGTCTCATTTATCCGGCGAGCCGTCCTTGAGCCGCTGCAGCATTAGGCAGGTTGTTAACACAGGAGAAAAGGGCGTTCAATGTCATGTCACTGTGTCGCAAAGCATGACAGAGCCAGGGGCCCGGGCCATCTTCTCGAGGAAATAAATACATCGCCATCTTCCTTTTCAGAGTGTAATGGTCTGGATATTACATCTCCTGTGGGACATTACAGTCCACGGATAATAAATCCATCCTACTGAGTGTGCGTATGAGTGTTTGTGTGTGTGTGTGAACAGAGTGTGTATGCGCATCTGTCTGCATATGTATGTAAGGTGTGGGTGTGTTTGCGTACATTTCAGTGGGGGGTGTACGTGCGCAGTTTGAGGCAATTTGTCCCCTGGAGAGAAAGTGATCCAGTATCTCTACACCTTGTCAGCTGGAAGCAGCCAGGCAGCCGTAAATCTCAATTACGCAAACCCCTCCCTTTCCTTTCCTCCCTCCCCTCCCCACCTCCCTTGCCACAGGTGACAATGGACCAAATTGACTGCTCACTGTTGCGTTCCAAGGCTTACCATTGGCTTCGGGCTGAGTCTGAGAGGGCACGGCCACGTAGGGGTCCTCCCCTTTGTCTGAGCTCATGGGGGGGTCCTTCCGCTCCACCATGCGGCCCCGCCCCAGGGGGCCCTCGGCAGCCTCGGGTAGGGCCGAGGTGGGGAGTGAGAGGGTGTGGTGATGGTGGTGGTGATGGTGGCCTGCCGGACACAACACAGGTTAACCGACGCTCGGGGCAGACACGGACAGGCTTTCAGTGCATGTGAGCACAGGCCAGCAGGGGTGCACACAAACGCATACACACATATACACACACACACATATACAAATCTATTCCTCCTTTGAAGCATAGATGCACTCACACACACACACACACACACACGCGCACACACACACACACACACACACACAAGGACAGCTGCTGGGCTGTGTGAGGCAACAAAGTCTCTCTCCCCCAGTGACCCAGGGCAACTCATTAGCAAATGTGTGTGTGTGTGTGTGCATGTGTGTGTGTGTGTGTGTGTGTTTTTCTCAGGATGGACATGTCCTTTCTTTTTTCCTGTCATTCTCTGCCTCTCTCTGTCTTTCTCACTCTCTCCCCTCCTGTTCTGACTGACATGTCAAAGCTCTGCTGGGTCTGTCAGAGCGGAGCAGAGTACAATCGTATTCCTCCACGATCACCATGGGGTGTCTACCTTTGATATGAAGGACAAGAGACAAACTTTCTTTCCATCGCCGCCTGTAACTTTTCTTCAACCTTAAAGTGCTTCTGAGTCTGTTCATGCTCTTCCCCGCTAGATTTTCTCAGGCTTTCTGTTAGTTAAATTTCACTGTTCAATCTTTTTTTTTTTTTGTTTATCAGAATGCTCAATTCATGCCACATAATCTCAGGTCCGCCATTTTTCTTTGTGACATTTAACTGAATATCTTTTTGTTTTGGACTGTTTGTCGCACAAAAGAAACAACTTGGAGATGACGCCTTCGTCTCTTCAGCTCCTCCTGTTCTTGTTGTCATCTGATTCTCTTATCTTCTCTCAACCGCTCCTCTCTTCGTTCCTCTCCAACTCTGTCTTCTCCTCTTATTTCCCATGTACCCCCACTTTTCCCTCCTTTCTTTGTTTTAAACTGAAAATCTCCCAAATGCTTCACATCTGCTCAGCCGGTAATCTTTATTTGGCATGCCCCTCAGCAACATGTCTAGATCAATCCTCAGAAATATGTCATTAAGAGTTAATGAATTTTCTCAGATTTGACCCCTCCCTGTAATTAAATTCCTTAACGGCTAAATGAACTGCTGGCCAACAGTTGCAGAGGGTACCATAACACAGCCAGAGAGCTACTCTGATGATGATGAGACTATAATAAGAACAGCACACACTGTCTGTCTGTGAAAATGAATGCACACCTGAAAGTTATGAGATGACATTATCTGATAAATGCAAGAAAGTATCTCTATCACCTGTGGATGACATATCACACCTACACCTCTTCTCTGTCTATCACTGCACGGCTTGCAAACAATCTCTGTGCCTTCCTCCATCCGCCTGTCTCAGTTCTCTCATTTTCTTTTATAAGCAGAATTTGTGCATAAGCTTTGTCTGAGTGTTTATTTTTGAACCGTGCTAATCACATTACCATCCCACATGCTTACAGTTAAGCCACCCTACACAAGATATATATTGTATTTAATATAATGTATTCAAGCCACACGTTTAAGAAAAAAAAAAATCCTCCCTTGATGAAGAGTGACAACACTTTTATCAACATCCTCTGTGGAGCTCAGCCCCCAATTCCTATTTTAACATGCTTTCTCCACGGAGGAGGTGACAGCAATGAGCGTGTGCGTGCGTGTGTGCGTGCGTGCGTGTGTGTGTGTCTGTTTGCAGATGTGCAAGTGCCTTTTCAATATGTGTTTATGCTTGTGTTTGAAGATGGGGAGACATTTTAGGAGGCTAACATTGATGCTGCTGGTAGACGATGTGCATCAGACACCCGCACACAACACTACCCAGAGCCTCCTCCTCCTCCTCTTCCTCCGTGTGGCGTGGCAATCATTAAAATGATTTATTTAACTATTGGCCCAAGGCTGAGAGATTAGTGTGACAGGCCTATTTTATAATTCATTCCCCCACCGCCAGGGGAAGTGCAATTCAGGCAGATGACACACATAGAGAGAGAACTCGGGACCTCGGAGCTCCTCCACGGATCAGGGGGGGGAAAAAAGCCCTAAACTGCCGACGGATGCACATCCCTCTCTTTCTGCAGATTAAAAGAGAGGCAACGGTGTCTAGTCTGGAGTAGAGGAGAGCAGAATGGAGAAGGGGCATTTATTTATCTTCAAATCCATATCAACCACTGACAGATAGATGGAGAGGCTCTGGGGCAATGGCTGAGACTTTGTTTGGGGGGTTGTAAACTGGGTGTTATCTGTGTGTGTGTGTTTGTGTGCGTGCGTGTATGCATGTGTGTGTGTGTGTGTGCGTGTGTGCGTGCGCGTGTGTGCGTGCGTGTGTAGAAACACACAGCCAAGCCTGTGGAAGCATATTCAGCACTACAGGGGTGCACACCAACACAGATGCTTTTTCTGTGACCCTGGATCTCCAAAAAAGGAGGGAGAATCACAGTGGGGGTACAGCCACAGGGGGGTGAGAGAGAAAGCGCTGGGCTTTCTGGAACAACTTCAAAATATCTATTCTTGTCTTTCTGTATGGATCTGACTGTTTTGATCTGGCAGCTGCAAGGTATCTGCCTATGTGTGTGTGTGAGAGAGAGAGAGAGAGAGAGAGAGAGAGAGAGAGAGAGAGAGAGAGAGAGAGAGAAAGAGAGAGAGAGAGAGTCACTGAAAACCAAACTAACGCACCCACTGATTAGATAAAAATAAGGTGGATGTGCGTGTAGGTGTGGGTGCTATGGCTAAGAGTGACTTTGCTGCAGGCTAATCACATGTGTTTATCATTCCTGAGAGAGGAAAATGGTATCAATCAGCCAGCAGCCAAGTGTGATTGTGATATTGTGTTGTGTGATTATTAGGAGAGTGAACATATCTGCACGAAGAAGCCAGCACTAAAAATGTGCATGTTTACATTGGCCTTTCTGAATTAAGCATCTTTGAATGTGCGGAGAGTCTCTGCCAACTGCACATGCTCGGCCACAGTTGGCAGGAACATATCTGATCTATGCCGACTCTAAACAGGCCAATTTAATCTCTCTGTCTCTCTGTTGACACACGTCCTATTTAATGTGCATGTTGAGGCATTCTTCACCGTCAAGGCCTTAAACTACCAACAACCAGATCCATCCAATTAGTGAAGCAAAGGTCAGGGCTAATCAATGCTACTGCACAGGGGATAAAGAGTACAGGGGGGGCAAGAAGGGAGGGAAGGTGTAACAGAACTAATAGAATATGAATCCACATTAAATGTTTTTAATTCTAAGTTTCTCATTTCTAATTCTACGTCCTTTATTCTAAACACCAAAGGGGTTGGATGAGGAAGTACTATGAGAAGTGAAATTTACCGACCGTGCCTTAATGTTTCATTACCTTCGTAACTGGAAGGAACGTCTATCAAAAAGAAGGAATGAAATGAATTCAGTTAAAGCCTTGAGTCATTAATAAACCCTCTTTACACATGTGGGAGGAGTTTTCATTTCCTTGAGAGGGAATGATTGATTGACTAGACGAAGAGGTGTGGCTGAAGTTAAAGAGTCTGGGGAGATGAAATGCAGCTCCTGTCTTTTTTTTTTTTTTTAATTTATTTATTTCTTTGATTGCCTCTACAGTTTATGTGGGATACTTACCGTTCAGCGCCACAAAGGTATCTGGAAGAAGAGGAGAAGAAATGAGGGGAAACGTGTTATTGCATGCAGCACAGAGAGCTTATGCTTTAACATGATCAAAAGCCATGACTTTTAAAGTAATTCAGAATCGACTGGCTGCTAGTCTCCTAACTTTTAATCACAGGTGATATATATGGCTTCTACAGCTAATAAAGCTCCAACACTATGGTTTCCCTTGACTAAACCTCCTGATGAAATTGAAGTGAAAATGCACTGCCCTCATTTACTCTGAGTAAACAGTCGAACTTGAGATGAAATGGACTACGTTGAGTGATTTAATGTCAAATTGTTTTGAAGTTTCTCTTGCAAACTGAGCAGCTCAGTAGAATATCAACAGGGCATCACATATCCAAACAGTTATTTTGGACATGAAAAGATCAAATATACATCCGTGCCATTCCCTGTGTTGTAGATTAAAAGAGACCTTTCAAGTTTTTGAGTCTGACTGGGTTGAGAGCCCTGTCTTGTTTAATGTTTCAAAATGAGCCCTGTGACTGCTCCCAATGAGATGTCTCTTCTGTGTGTCGCTGAATGTTTGGGTTGTGTTTTCATAGCAATTTGCAAGAAGGAACCCAGTCTTTGCGCGATGGGACACAACACTCTATTGAGCGGGGGACCAGAGAAACGGCGGGAGAAGGACAGAGGAGGATGAGAGCCGAAAGGGACAGATGGATGGAAGAGCCTGAAAGAGAGGATTGTGAGGGCGGAACAGACGGGGGAGAAAGAGGTGACAGCAGCGAAGAAAGAAACGGAGGGCCGAGAGAAGAGGGAGACCAAGTTAACAGAGAAGAGAGGAATGGTGGTGGTGGGAGGGGGGGGTATGGAAGAGAGGAGGAAAGATAAGAGTGAAGAGGGCCTGCTTACTTTGGCAGTCTCCCAGGCCATCTGTGTTACCATGCTCCACGTCCTGCTCAAAGGCTGATCTGCGGGGAACAGAGACATCATGGTCAGTGGTGGAAAACAGGCCAGGCCGTGCAGGCTCGCCACACCTAGCGAAGTAACAAAGCTATAGGAAGGCTACTTCAAAAACAACCCCAAACACAGCATACCCTCTGCTTACACAGTGTGTACTCTGCAGAGAGCCCTATACTGGAACAATATCAAAGAACACCTATCGGGTATCCTGGAGGCCTAAAATCAGTGGTTATGAAGAATACTGGCAGGCCAGTAAATCCATAGCTGGCACAGGACTCACTGCCAATACTGTTGATACAAATAGATTTATGTTTTATTTGGCTGTAATAAAAACAGTTATCTAATGTTGTATAGCTTTAAAAAAAAAAAAAAAAAAAAAAAAAAGTATGAATTTTTTTTTTTGTTGTTGCTTCTTTTCTCTCTTGCGAAGAGTTAGATGAGATTAACATAACTCTCATGTCAATATATGAAGCTACAGCCAGCAGCTGGTTAGCTTAGCTTAGCAAAAAGACTGGTAAGAGGGGGGGGGGGCAGAGTTAGAATGATAGTCAGGCTAGCTACTTCTCCCTGTTTCCAGTCTTATACTAAGACTAAGTCTATACTAAGATAAGCTAACAGAGTTTCTCTCATCTAACTCTTGGCAAGAAAGCAAACATTTCCCAGAATGCTGAATTTTTCCTTCAGGAAGAAATGTACAAAAAATGATACTGTTTTTTATCAGAACTTCACTTTGATTAATCCTTTGTCCTATTTCTTTGTATCTGACATCATCTAGGCTCCAGTGGAGATGTGAGGCAATAGTCCCAATCACATGGGCCAAGACCAGGGAAGTGAGGGGTAACCATGCTTGAGGGCCATCATATGACACAGAGGGAGAGCGTTTCAGAGATGTTATTTTCTAATGCAATCTGCACGGAGACCTGTTTTCTTCCTGAAAGACCACCAAGCAGGCAGTAAGGAGATCTGTGAAACAGAGCGGACCAACTGTCAACCAGGATCACAGTCACGCATGACAGCTTTTCACAGTCCTCCTCAGCCGCCCCCCCCCCCCTTCCACGCTGTTCCTCCTCCTCCTGCCTTTTCACCCGCCTCTCATCTTCCTCACCCTTCACTGGTCACAATTATAGCATGAAGAAGAATGATTTTCCAAAACAGCATCACCCACCCCTTATCCCCCTGATCGGAGTGGAAAGCGTGAACCTGACAATGAGGACAAGTACAGGAGATTTTAAAAAGGAAAATACAATTGGATTTTTTGCTGTTATGCTCTCAAATCAGAAACAAAGTCAAAGTCTCTACTTCATGTATATTTATACAGTGGAGGTGATTGAAAAATTTCATCCATTCCTTTAGTATTCATCTTTTCCTCCAGTTTGACAGCACCTTAATTGGGACGGAGATGGTAAATTTTACTCTCTTGATAACCAATTTCCCTTCAAAAGCAGCCACACAAACAACAACAGTGGCATCCTCTTTTCATTTCTGTGGGTACATTTAATCTGCTTATCTGATTTGCTTATCATACACAATCATAATCACAAAGCAGACGCAGAGTTGCACAATTAAACCTGTCTAAGCATAAATGCCTCCTGCTCTCTGCTGGATTTTCCTCTCAGAGATGCCATGAAATGTTTAGATGAATTAACAATGAGTAGACACACTACAGATGCAGCGTCTGGCCCTTACTTGGCACATGGGAAAGTGAATGAACCACAGTGTGAACCCTCAGTTAAAGGGTTCATGTCCCACAGCAGCTGCATTAGAAGTGCAGTGTGTTCCAATGTGACACTACAGACGGCTCAGCTCAGAGTTAAGATCCCACTGCAACCGCATAATGCATATTTAAATCGGATTCAAACTGTACATAACTGGAGGCAGCCAAGGGCAACATTTTATATTCGATGTGATTATTATGTGAGATGTGTGGCTGCACGGAGGGGACTTGGTTGCTAAAATGCAGGTCAGGCATAATAACATTAATTATTCACATCTGAAGAGATTGGCTACCAGGGACTTAATATATTGTACATATAGTGTAAAGTAAGTTTTGGATAATGTTTCCTTTAAAGTCACCAGTTCATTTTGATTCATGGCTTTGATTTACAAAAGGAACACCTGCAGTAAACTCAAACTTCAATAATCAGGGGCTCACCAGGTAATAAGTCAGTGTATGTACAGATTTTACAAGACTACACCTCTAATCCAGAGAGAAGTCAGGGTCAGTGACTGTGACGGTGGTTTAAATAATTAACAAATAATTATGAACATACTGATCTGTTGTCAGTGAAACACAGTCATGTGCCTGTTTTACATATCAACAACCATACAGATTCATATGCAATCATTTGCATGAACAGGGGGTGACTGGGGACCATATTGCAGGAGACCAGAGTGCAAGCTGTTTATAGGCAGTAGGTATAAGAGGCATAACTCCACATGGGAAACCTGGCACGCTAACACCGGGGCCAGATGGAAGAAGAAAGGGGAGGCATGCAAGAGAGAAATAATATGTCAGAGGAAAGATAGAAAAAGAAAGTTGGATAAAAATAGAAACACAGACAGGCATAGGGATAAGAAGATAGGTAGCTGGTTAGGAAGAGAGATACACAAAGACAGACAAGGAAACAAGAACAGAGGTAGTGCTGGAAAAGGGTTTTTATATAAGGAAAAGAAAAAGAAAGAGAGACTGATGATAAGAAAGAGAAGTCTCTTCTCTGCAGGGACCTGTTTTTTTGAGCAAACCCTTTTATTTAACACCAAAATGCCTCTGACTCTCCCCTCCCTCGTTTCATCCCTCCTTCTGTCCAGCCTGGCAAATGCTTTGAATAGCTCACCACACACCAACAGATCCTACCGGGCCTAATCCTCCACCCCCACCCTCTCACTTAAAAATATTGTACAGTAACAGAGCGAGGTCATCTGCCCCCTTTAATGCCACTGTGTCAGCCCCTGCTCCAGAGTGGAAACTCAATCAGAACAGTTCACCGCTTCGGCTTTGCAGAATAATAATAGGATGGGTAGTGTATGTGTTTTTTCTCCGCGTGTTTTGCGTGTACGCGTGGGTACGTGTGCCTCTGGTGGACTGGCATGCCGGACCGGATCATTTTGCACCAGGGGGATCAAATTCATTCAGTGTCAGATAGCCATTGGAGCGTTGGGTCCTTTTGTTATGACTTCATCTGTAAAATGTTTTTTCCCACCACAAAACTCCATATGCTGTTCTTTCAGAGAGCATAATCTGGTTCTGTGTCATAACTACAGCCACAAATTATAGTTACCGTGACCATCGAGCTTTCCCCAGCTCTGCGTACCCAACCCCGGGCCCGAGGCTAACAACACTTTCCTTCCATTCATCCTTCCAATAGCCCTTTCAGCTGGAGGAAATTGCACTTACTCACCATAAAATTAGAAAGATCACAGACACGACAAATCGAGAGAGGAATGCCACCAGGCATGACAAAAGGTGGGATAGTGTTTTATAAAACTCACTTATGAACCACATGTTTCCCCGGCCTCTTCAGCATCATAATGACTTAAAAAAAAAAAAAAAACACGTAACATGCACAATGTTTACACGTTTGCTGTATTGTAGCTGTAATGGAGGAGCATTCATTACTAATGCAGACTTCATGCAGGACGAGACGAGGGGCGGCAACTATGATTTTGAAATCATGTTTTGCACGGAGGATGGATCGAAATACTACGATACCCATGAGCCTCAGCCGCCATTGCCAAACAGAGCTGTAGCGAATTCAAAACACTTTGGCTCTGTTCAGACCTGGCGTTAACATGCGTCTCGGGTGATCCAATCACAAGGGGACAGCTCTGACTACAGGTGTGAACGCACCAGTGACGCACAGAGATCTAATCACTCAGACCACACTTGCATGTGGCCAAGATTCTTTTTTTGAGTGTGAACGCAAATGCGTCGTAGGCCACATTGAAGGACCACCTACTCAACTGACTACTTTCTTCTGCCACAGTTTCATAATGAACTGAAATGAATTTTTAGTGTTTCTAAGACATTGATTTATTTGTTTGACCGCCATATATTGATTTTCAATTTTTTTTTTTGTCTTTTAGTATTTCAAATGTGTCAAATCTTTTTTCATTGCAGAGCTGATATCGATTCGCTAAGCCCCTCCTAGCCCAGCTCTATCCGTCTCTCTCTCTCTCTTTGGCTAAACCAACAACGCATTTGGTCTTTAACAGAAGTGATGTACATGTTTATTTGCATATAGAGCAGGGAGGTGAGATCCCATCACAAGTAGTCACTCAAGACGCATGTGGAGATGCATTTTAATGCCAGGTGTCAACAGACTTGCTTGGAGCCGTTCATTTGTGAGCGATTACCTGAGACGCATGTTAATGCCAGGTCTGAACTGGCCTTTGTAGCAGTTGGGAACAAAAGTGAACTAATTTAAACTTCTAAATGTTTTTTTCTGGTTGTTACGAAGTCTAATTTTTAGCTTACCAGCACACTGAGCAGTATTTCAAGCTATGTGATTAGATTGCTCATACCAAAATGCTCCTCGGTAGTTCAGCAGTCGCCTTCTCTCATTATGCTGCCATGTACACAAAAAATAAATGGTATTTTCATACACATACAAGCTTTGGAAGTGTGCAAACTGCTAGCAACCTAACCCTGTCTATGCATAAAATGAGCAGGTCTTAACTTTCATAGCACTGGATGCCAAAATGTCTCCACCCGCTTTCCAACTCTTATGTGATTGTGTTTGTGTTTACTTACTTGATGTTGCCAACCACTTGTCTACAGGCTCCTTCTGATACCCAACCACAATACGGGTCTCTGGAGGCTATACACGACCTGGAAGACAAACACATACACCATCAGCCCCCTCGTCATATTGCACACTGGAATATTGTTTCTCTGTCTGAGAGGGGATCAAAGTTTGTGTATGAGGATTTCATATGCAAACATCAGACTTACTTCTTGCATCTTCCATGTCTTTCGCAGCGAGACAGTGGTACTTTAACCACACAGGAGGTGAAAGCGACCCACAGAGCATGACTCTTGCTGTCTATCTGCATGCCAATGATGCGCTTGTCCTCTACACCATCTATACTGCACCTATGGGAGGAAGAGAGGAAGACAGGGAAGAGGATGAAAAATCGATTATTCTGTCTTTCCTTCAACTATTTTCTTGTTTAGGCACAAGGTCCAATAAAAAGTTGTCAGGGACAGTTGGAAGAAGTCAGAAAACAACATTTCACAGTTCATTTAAAAAGATAAAAAGAGAGAGATTAAGATGTGGCAGAAAGAGACTGCGAGGTCAGGGAGAAAAGAGATATAGCTGGACTTGAGAACTTGGGGTCAGGAACAGAGTGGGAGATAAAGAGAGATAAAGAGAAGGGGTGATACAGATACAACAGATAAACAGACAGATGGGCACTGTGAGCAGTCAGCAATAACACTGCACTTAACTATAAAACCCACTAACACTAACTCTTGCCCCCCCCCCCTCCTCTTGCTCCACCATTCTTCCATTCCTCCATCCCTGCTAGTCTTCTCTTCTTTGTCTCCTCGGCCCCACAGGAGCACACCCTAATCCCTCTGGGCGTGTCAAGCATCTTTCTATCCCTTCTCTCCATCCATTCCTCTCTCCATCCCACCATCCAACTCCTGGGATTTAATCTCCCCTTCGCAGTGCCCTGGTCCCGCATTAACGCTCTCAATTAGGGCTTAGAGTCCATCTACACTGGGTAATGCACAGCAATCGGGCCTGCGCTGATCCTGCCAGCCAGGGAGGGAAGCAGGCAAAGTCACTTACTGTACACGACTAAAGCCAGATGGCCAGCAGCCGGCGAATGCTCGGCCTCAGCCACAGAGACAGAGAAGAAACAAAGAGAGAGAGAGAGACAGAGAGGAGGAAAGAAAGAGCCACAACGAGGGGAGGGAAGAGAGGGCAGGGCCTGCCCTTCATCCCCTCCATACGGCTCGTCACATGGCCGCAGCATGTTGGACAACAAACAGTGGTAACCTTGAAAGCCCTCCTGTCAAGTCCTCGCTCGACTTCCCTTCTTCTTCTTCTTGGTTGTCTAAAACAATAACGTATTTCTCCTCTCTGCTTCTTTCCATCTCTCCCGTCTGAGCTTCACCTCAATTCTCTCTCCCTCCTCTGTTTGTATTGCCATTCGTTCGCCCTCATCCATTACCCCTCAACTAAATATTTGCTTTGGCAGGGTCATACTGTGGCTGATTTTTCCTTATTCACTTCTATTCCAAATACACAACAATGCTCAACTCACTTCACCCCACCATACCCAGCTCACCCACACACGCTCACATCCATACATGTACCAACAGCCGTGTAATGTATTAGTGAAAGATCACAGGCTGGCTCTAAAGACAAACACAGACCTCGGTGTGTGTGTGTGTGTGTGTGTGTGTGTGTGTTTCCTTTAATCAGCCAATGATTTTAGAGGAGCTGGGCCACGCTGTGGTTGGGAACCACAGCGCTACGCTATCCAGAGCCTTAGGGTCTATGTCTTTAATTTAGTAGCTGCGGTAGGACAAAGTGTAACCTGATAAAACTCTTTTAAATGATAGAGTAGCCATCTGGTTGGCTGGCTTCGCTATGTAGCTTGGGTCAGGGGAACTGACTGGTACTGATGGAGCTGGTGGGTTGGCGGGTTGGCTGAGTTGGGGGATGGTTGGAAACATGCAAAAAATCTCACACACACACACTCTCTCTCTCTCTCTCTCTCTATAACACACACATATGCAAAAATTGATCTTCTTTCGTTTGTAGCAACTGTATCCATGTGTTTCTCTATTTCTATCCATCTCTCTCACACATGCACACGTCCACCCAGAGCTACATACTTGTCCGGGTTGTAGACGTTGAGCTCCTCCAGGAACAGGCTATCGTTGAGGAAGCCGTTGTTCATCTTGGCCAGGAACTTGAGGATGATGCCTTTCTCCGATCCCAGGAAGACCACTGTGTGGTTCTTATGTGGACCCGCCTCATTGTCCACCACGATGCGCGTCAGACGATAACTGTAACAAGGAATACCATGTTAAATAAATAAAATCAATCAGTTGGTTAATTAGTCAGTTTGTCTACCAACAGAGGAACAAGTTTGCCCCTCAGAGGAGCAACAGATGGTGACGAAGGACACCAGCAAGGATTAAATGTAAATCTTTCTGTCCAGTACAGTACTCTTTCTGCTGGACCACATTCAGAAACTTGTGAGATGAAATTTGCATTGATAAAAAGATACTACTTACTTACTACTTAAAAATAAAGAAATAATAACTACAAAAACTAGGTGAATATAATTTCCTAAACAATTAATATGTAATCAATAAATCAGTTTGCCTTCCATCATTCATGTCAGATGTCTAAACAAGAATAAGGAACAGCAGGAGAGATTACACAGTTTTATTAATCTCATTAACTGATTGTTATTTCATTAAACTCAATCAGATTGCCACAGGACATGTCAGGTGGTTGTTCAAAGAAAAACATTACAAAAAAGTTGCTCATGCAACAGACAACAGTTGTGAATGCTGCACTCTTTTCTTATTGACAGCGGCTGGTCACACAATTTGGCTCAGCACCAAGTGGAGGTGCATAAAACTCAATTTTCATTTCAGTATTTGTAAAAAAAACAAAAAACAAAACAAAAAACAAGCAGATAGGCAGCTTGTAGCAGAAATCAGCAAATTAGACGCCTGCCTGTTAGTGTGTCTTGGATTGGTGCCCTATTCTGCTTACGGGTGTTAGAAATAAAAGTCAGATGGATCAAATAATAAGAACAGGTTTTAAGAAGTAGCCTCTTGAGGCTACCTACCTTTACCATCTGATTTCATCACATCACAGATGCCGGTATCTATCTCTCAATTAGTTTCAGGGCCAGGAAACTCTCCAAGTTATCAAAAAGGTACATACGTATCTATTCATCAGCGTGTATTATGCAAACGCATGTTTTCATGACTTTTTTATTGAAGGAGATTTAATTCAAAGATTAAAGATGAGAGCTTATCTTAAAATCTAGGAAGTCCACTTTCGCCCTCATTAATGGTTTACTTAGTGTTCTCAAACAGTACACACTAGTAAAATATTCATAACTCTGAAGGAGAATTTATTTTGGCTAGATTCATGTATATTTAACCTTACTAACAGTTTACACCATGAGCCTATTAAAAAAAATACAAGGTCAGATCCTCTTATCCCATCTCCCCTCTGTTTCCTTTAAATATCTCTATGCTTTGTGTCAGTGACTTTATCCAATCAACAGTAACAGCAGTCTGAAGGTCTAATGTGGTTTTGATCTCTTCAAGCATAACAGGCGCTCTAAGGACCGTGTCAATGTGATTTGATCTCAGAGAAATAATACAATCTCAAGGACTAAGACATTCACTGTGTCTCCTATTCAGGCTAATACAAATCTCAAGAGAGGGATTCTTCAGAGTGTCTCCCCTTTCCATTTGAATCACTATGTCCAGCCAGCTGAGGTCCCTGCCACAGCACAGCCAGGCTCAGGACAGAAAAGGCTCTTTCAAATTTGCAGCTAAAGCTCTTGCTGGATATTCGGGTGTCCTCTGCAGGGTGTTAGCAAGGATCAAACCCTATTACTGGTTTTGTTTCCAGCTGATTTCAGCTGAAGAATACTATTTCACATCAAGACTGTGATAATTATCACAAAAGACCTTACGCTCCTTCCACCTCATATGCCTTCATGATGTTTTTGAGCTTACATAATGCTTTTAACTACTGCCTTTGACTTGCATGCATGGCTCTGCTCACTGCGGTGTCATTTCAAATCAAATCAAATAGTCTGATTGCTGATTATGTAAAGACAGAAACACTGTTATTCATAATATGGCCATATGATAGGGTGCACTAATGAACAGAGAGCGTTGTAGGGATTACCTTGATGAAAGCTGTTCATATTCTGACTAAGCCTGCACAGTATGTAGGTCAAACCTCAGCAAAGTAGCTGCAAGATGTGATACGACGCAAATAATTTGTAAAACCGAGGAAGAATTCTCTATGTATCTCATCTTTAAAGTGATGTTACCACCACTGAGGCTTGTCAAGGGTCTGGCAAGCACTCCTGACCTTAAATCTTGAGCAGCTGCAATTGGGAACCAGGTCCATATGAAAAAGTAGATTTTTTTTTTTTTTTTTTTTACTTTTCACCAAATGCTCTGTCAGCTAGTTTTGCCCTGCCGATGGGACGGCGGCATGCTGTCGTATTCCCCCCAGAGGCTGGCTGAAATGTCTGTGTGAAGTGTAGCTAAAAGTCAGACAGACCTTTATGATCAAACAGTATCAGCCACAGTGCACTGGCTTTTGGGAAATGGGCTCAACTCTAAAAAGTCAGGAGAAAAACCGACCACAGAACAAAAAAAAAAAAAAAACTTTTTACTCCAGTATCCTCTCTTTGAAATATCTTCAGAGGATTTCAACAAGCAATTTGCAACAAAGACTAAACATTGCCAAAACCTCATGAAGAACATGAAGACAGACATCAAAGAGAATTCAAATTGTTTACTCTGTATTTATCACATTACTACACGGTCAGGGAAAATGATGTATAGGATATGGTGTGTATCACTTTTTCCTCTACTACGGTGAAATAGGTCAGCGGCTAGTTTGTGGTGGAGTACTACTGTGTTTTAATGAGGCTGTCTGACTCTCAGCGCAGCACTTCATGTAATTATTGTCCTGGGCTGAAGAGGCTCATAGACCTCTGATGACAACGGCCTTTGGAGTGTGTAATACGTACCGGACCATGGTCTTGAGGAACCAGGGCCTGTTAGCAATGGAGGGCACAGCCTCGTCCATCAGAGGATGCATCTTGATGAAGTTGAGTGTGTCGTCGGGGAACTCATTGGATACTTTGTACCTCTCCATGGATGGAGTGCCGGCGCAGTTGCCAGGCCTGCGAATGGAGAGCAGGAAAGAGGATGATGGTGATGAGGAGGAGGGATGACGGGAGAGGAAAAAATAGTGAGCAGAAGGAGGGTGAAGCACAAAACGAAAAACCGCTACATTGACTGTAAAGGGGTGGGGCGGGGGGTGATGAGCAATTCTTCATGGCCAGAGCTCCAATAGAAGACAGAAAGTTCTACTTTCCTACAATCAATGAGAGTGTAGCTTTAAATTACTAAACTGTCATTCCAAGAGGCTTTGGTCAGAGCAGAGGACATAGGATGTCTTCTTTTCTCTGGACCTGGGGTAAAGCACTGAGACATTCTATCTATCTGATCCTTTTACAGGGAGTTGGTGAGCTGCTTGTAAAAGAGAAGCTGCTTTTGATAGCATATCCCCTTTGCAGGCATCTCACCTCTTAGAGCTTGTAAAACCCCTTTACTGCGTGGTCTTTGATACCCTGCCACACCACATAATCCACACCAGGCCCTAGAAATATTAGCTCGCTGGCCACCGAATGTCAGACGCTGTCAAAATGTCAGGACCAAGCTCTAAAATATACTGTGGGGCTATACATGTGTGTGTGTGTGTGTGTGTGTGTGTGCGCGCGTGTGCGTGTGTGTGCATAAAAGAAAGGTATCTTCATTTTTCAATGAAAATCTTCCATCTTATGTGTATGTCACCACTTCAAAATAAGCAGCATGAGTATAAAGGAAATCCAGTGATAGAAGATAAAACCTTCAGCCATTCTATGCATTCCCAGATCCATCTTTATCATGTCCATACAGCCAAAGGACAGAATTTCAAGGGCAAATATAGTTTGCTTTGCTTTTTATAAAACATGCAATAGTGCACAATATAAAATCTATAATGAAAACATACAAAATAGTTTTTTTTAACCATTCAAATTCACCTGAAATAAAATGTAATAAAAGAAACTGACAGATGAGGTCAAGTCAGCTGCTGCTAATGTTAAATTAACCTCCAACTGATGATTAAGTCGCAGCATTTGCAGAACCATTTGTCACTGTAAAAAAAAAACCCAATGCTATAACATTTTCTTTGTTGTAGCTACATTTATGTCTGCGGACATATGGAGACCAGAGCGGAAACAGACATCTCTTAAATACGAAAATCTGTAAATGATTCAGTATGAGAGTGTAACACATGGAGGAACAGTCTGCTGCAGGGCCGGACCTGGGTGGCATTGTTACAACTCTCCGTCTGTTTGCCTGCAGATAAAAGGTCTGAACGCAGCAGAGGATGGAAATGAAATCAATCGCATCAATCACGACAGAAACAACGGCGGCTATATCTGATCTTTGCAACGTCTGAACTTGTTGAACATAAGCAAGTAATTACATGCTAATTGAGGGGAGCGGGCAAACTCACACATATTCACACAATGCACAGAGATGAATGCAAAAAGAGTACAGTACAGAATCTCTGTAGGTGAGGTACCGCCTCCTCAGCCATACGGGAACACACACACGCACACCCGCACAGGGTACCAACAATTATCATGGCCCAGATCTTTGTAGTAAATCTGTTTTTTTTTTTTGTTTTTTTTTCTGGAGGATAAGAGAGCAGCTCTTGGCGCGCTAATTAGCAAGCAATAGATGGGAGATTGATCGGGCTGGTGCATTTGTGGAATTAGCCAGCCATCTGTAAAATGATCTCATGCTTCATTTGTTGATAGTGAGCCCTTCTTTAATGCAACCGCGTGTGGGGGAGAGGTGAGGTAATGGGTTAGGGGTATAACTGTGAAAAAATGTGGCATCTGTGGGAGTGTGTCTGTGCACACAGGGTGTGGGTGTGACGCAATGTGACATAGGATGTGTAATCCCTGGCAAAAAAAAAAAAGGACATATAAAAAAAAAAAAAATGACGCAACATGACTTAAAATTGGCGTGCTATTAACACATCATAATTCAACAAGTCTTGTGCATTGACTAGGGCGCCATATATCGCACGTGTGTGAGAGGAAGAGAGAAGCAATGTGACTGAATGAGAATGTGTGTGTGCTTGTGCGTGCGTGTGTGTGTGTGTGTGTGTGTGTCTGTGTGTTGTGGTTAATTAACTGCTGTTGTACCTTGGCTTGGGAACCTTCTCTTCAGGAAACGGCGTCCAGGTGGAGTCTGGGGATTTCTGCTCTTTGAAACGCCCTGTGAACGTGTTGGCTACCTCCGCCATGTCATAGGCGCACACTGCTGAGCCTGGGATACTGCCAAAAAAAGAAAAAAAGAACACATAAACAATCCCCTTGACAGAACACATCAAAGAAACACCTTTCCAAGCCTGGACTATCACCAGGAGACAGAAAAATGGTTTTACACTCCCCCTTTCAGAAGGGTTAAATCCCTTCAGGATGTGTCATTTAAGCTTTTCCATATTTACACTGGGTGACAGAGTCAGGTTTGCAACGTTGTCAAGGTTTTGCTAAAGTAGAAAAATAAGAGGTGTCAAGATCTTTATCCTCACTTCCCTCACCTATACAAAAAAAAAAAAACAACACATTTTGTGGTTTAAAAAAAAGTTCTATTTCCTCCATTTAATAGAAATATTCTATTCTTATTTCTGTTTCAATTACAGTTTCAGTGCTATTGTACCCATCATGTTACTGAATACACTGTCATAGTATATGAGTTACAGTGTCTGCCTGCCAAGCCTCATGAGGACACACATTCCCTAACCATCCCCTCTAAGACTGGCTTTCCCCAAAAGCCTTGAGGCATCAAAGTTCATCACAAGTCCACTGTTAAGCAAGAAATATGGACAACAGATTATCTTATTATTGCTATTCATTTTAAGGGGAAAAACACCCTCTTGTGATAGCAGTGGAGCCACAGGCTTCTGTCCGTCTGTGTGGAATCAATGCATAGCAGCCTGCTGAGTCACTTTTCTATTTTCCCTGCATCTGCTCTCTGAAATAAAAACTAAGAAGTGTTTATTCTTTATCAGACTTTCTTTATAAGAGAAACATCTTTGTCTCTCTCAGCTGGCTGGATTTTCTGGCTGTTGCATCATGGGTTAAACTCATCAACTAGACACTGGGGAGACAGCATACACAAGGGCGGTATTATAAAGAGCAAGGTCAGAGAGCTGTTAATTCTTGGCTTAGCTACTAAATTACAGTAATTACCCTCTACATTGGGTATGTACAGAAAGTTAGACAATAGCATGTCTTTTTATACCAGGCTGCTAACAAGGCAGATAGATGGTGATGGCGAGCGAGTCGGCCAGTTAGCGAGTGGGCCAGGCAGCATCCCAGACAGACAATTAAACGACACACAACCCTGAGAGCTGCCTACAGTCTGGATGTGCTCCCTCTAATTTCACCCCCTGACTATGAAATGGAAAATTAATGCCAGGATCAAAACTGGCGCTTATAGAAATTTTCAGAGGCCCTGCTTCATTGGGTTTTAATGTCCATTAACCATGCTCAATTGCACTGTCACAAGCAATTGTCTTATCTGCTAAAAAGCAGCCATAAAATGGAAAATTACAATATGTGCGAGCTATCAGCCAAGCTTTATGGCTTTGTGGTAATTTTCAATTTAGATAAAAACTCCCCCTGCCTATGAATATGAAAGCAGCTCTGAATATGATTTGTAAAAAGGAAAAATAAAATTAAACACCTGCATGTCAAAAGGGCAACAAAACAGTTTTGACAGAAGATGTAAATGTTGACCCAGTATTCTCCGGAAGTGCAAGAGGCACAGCAGAGGCGTGCGCCACTAACATTAACAAAGGTCAAGCTGTCACACTGTTGATGAATTGAGGGCATTTATTTTTAAAAGTATTTCAAACTGAGTAAGATAATTGGTTTGATAAATAGGAAGTGCAGCAGTTGTTGACACACATGAACGCATTTGTGACAAGAGAAAAGATGGCTGAACAAAAATGACCTCAAGATATCAGTTCCATCTGTTGCTCACCTCAAACCTCTTCAGGTTTGATACACCTGTTGCTTTTTCAATGCCTTGTTTAGCTTTCTGTTCTGTACCTGTTGTAAGGTGTGGAGAAAGTTGCCATCACCACGTCCCTCCCGTTGATGTGGATGACATCTGTCACCGCCTGCAGAATGTTGAAGTAGAAGTGGGAATCGCCGGGGATGGAGCAGTTCAGCCGAGACTTGAGGAAGGAGGTCCACTGCTTCTCCAAGACACGAGGTGAGCCACCTCGGTCGTTCTTACAAACCCTGGCCACCCGAGGAAACACCACCTGACACACAAGAGACACACAGCTGAAAGGTTACATTTGAATGGCTCAGGGTTTTACATATCACATCTCCAGTCTCGGGGTCTTGTACTAAATATTTAGCAGTCCATCAAAAGAGAGCTCCTCCAGTTTAGCATTTTGTGGAATTCAAGATGCAGAGTTAAAAAAAAAAAAAATCTAAATTGATGCCGATGCCTTCTCCTTTCATGTCAAAAAGGAAACTTGAACCTGTATATTTGCCATGACAATGGAACATGTGACATTAACAGCGACTAAATGGACCTGGTCGTGAGATTGTTCCCTCAAATGATGCTTCCAAAGTCAAGGACAAACCTTGAATTTCAAAGTGTAACTTTTGAATTAGATGTTTAGGTCTTTGAATGACAAAAATCTTTGGGAGACACCACAGTGACTTCATCCAGTGTTTCATCACTTTATACAAAACTACAAAACACAGAAGACTAAATTGGTGTGTTTGATAGGCTGTTAAAGAGTCAGCACCTTGGCAACAGAAAATTTAGAGCATACAGCCTCAAAAAGGAGCCGGCACTGTAATTACTAACTGTGCCGTAACATCATGTAGCCCGAATTGTAATTAGTTGTTGTCACACTATACTTAACAGCAATAAATCTAACCCTGACCTGAAATTGCAGCCTGGAGTAAACAGTGTGAATGGGAGCGAACATGCATTTAAACCTGCTTCCTACACACACGCCTAAACACACTACAACACACACACACACACACACACACACACACACACACACACACACACACACACACAGACACACACACACACACCAACATGCAGAAAACACCCAGTTCCTACTAAGAAGAACACACTCTCTCTCTCTCACACACACGTGGCTGTTCACTGTGAGATTACAGGGCGCTGAGATTACAGAAAAGGTATTACACTGAACAGGTGAGACTGTCAAACTGAATGTGGAATTATGTCAGCTTTACATATTACAGTTCAGTGTGTCACATTTCTACTCCCTGCAGATAGCTGAGCACTGGTTTATCTGTGTGTTACTTGGGAACACACACACACACACACACACACACACACACACACACACACACACACACGCACACACACACGCATAAATGGTTCAAATACACACACATATGGTATATAACATAAATGTCTTACAGTGAACAAATATTTTACTTGAGGCTTGTTAAGTCACTTGTGTAATGAAAAATGTATCATTATACATTTTCCAGATAACAATGCAACAACCCAACATTAAAACAAAAAGCAAACACAAACTTGCCACAGCAGATTTGTCAGCATGTCATAAAGCAGAGCTGACTATTTACATTGTCAGGGAAGGCCATTCTACTGTATCTAACAATGAAGAGATATCATTCACTAAATGTTAAATTACTCTCTGCACCATCAGCTCTACCACCACATGCATAATTATACTGACATTGCTTTCAAAACACCCAGCAGATTGAGAGGTCTGATCTGTATTCATGCCCTGTATAACACATGCCTGTCACTTCTGGCAGCGAATCCATTATTTCTGTGATTCTCGTTACCTCCGCTCTGTTCCCGTCTCGTCCCTTCTCTTTCTCACTCTCTCTTTAGTGTCTCCTTTCATTTATACTGAAAAATACATATTGAGCGATTCATTTCCATAACACATTTTCTTCTACCTGGTATCCAATTAAACTTTCTCAGGTCAGGGTCCAAAACTGAATTGAGGAGATTAATAGAAAAACGTCTGTTAATGTCCCTCTGGTGTAAAAACCTGAAGAAAGCCTGTTTCTTCTTCAACCTCTCCTCTTCCACCCGTGTCTCATTTCTCAGAGACACTTGGGTGGAATTCCTCTTGGGAAACATTGAGACGATAGGTCAAACGGGAGCGTTGCCGGACGGACATGGAAGTGCAATTCAAGCCATATATTTAGCCTTCAAAATGGGATCTCTATTCACAGATTTAAAAAAAAAAGAATCTATTTTAAGTCCTGCATCCTGCCCAGTGTTTATCTGCTACTGAAAAATGTTTTGGCCACCTTACAGCTCCTGAAAGCCTCCTTCCAGTTGTGTGATACACCCATATCCTGTTAGTTTCCTCAGGCACTTCCTGATTCTCTCTGTAAATAGGAAGTCACCTCTCATTACAGTTCAAACAATAGCCGAAAAATAGGGCCTGTGCTTACCTTTCCCATTGTGTTGTACTCCATGGCAATTTCCCGAAAGAAGAAGTAGATGAAGTCCCCATAATCAACTGCCTGGACAAAGTACGGCTCTGCAGGAGGAAAAAAAAATGAAATAAAATATTAGTTAAAAAAAAAAAAAAAAGTGACGTTTTGCCGTGACAAAGCAGTTCTGACACCATATTTCACAGTAAACAGGCACAATGTCAGTCATATTATGCAGAAAAGCACCGACTGTGAGCGTTGAGTGCCTCAATCTATCATCCATCATATCAGCGAAACAATTTGCATGCAAGGAAAGAAGGATCTCTCTATTGAGTTTTGACAGGCTGGACTTGAGTTTGTTTCTCCCCGGGGCAGAGCAATTTCCTGGCTACATCAACTCTACCAGGACAGGTTGGCAAAATGACTGTGTCAAACAGAGCGTGTAGCATTAGCATAAGTGCTCCTTCTCCTCATATCTAGATTCATACACGGAGGTGCAAAGATACATAAAGCACAAGTTAAGGAAAGCACCAACACGCATGTTCAGCCCTGGCCTTATTTTCTAAACTTGTCAGTCAGCTGGGTGCTTTCCAACTGCAGGGACTTTGTTTGTGTGTCCCATACTCACCTTTCAGCCATTTGGAGTCGTGTTTGACAGTGCGCAGAGTCGGGCTGTCTCCTAGGCTACGATAGATGACCGCATCGATCGCTAGAAAGTCTGTTACAGTGGCCGAGTACAGCTTGCCATCTGGAGAGGGAACACAGAGACGGAGAAAGCAATAAGGAGGAAAGACGGAGATGGAGAGGGGGGAAGAATGAAGAAAGAGAGCCACAAAGGAAGAGAAGAAAAAAAAAAGGTGAAAGAGAGGGAAGTTTAGTCAAGAGAGAGAAACACATGAAGCCACTCAGAGATTCCTGCAGTCTGTGGCTGGATACACTAACATGTTTTAGATGGCTCAGACCTGGAAAATGAATGAATCACACAAACCAACGAGACTCTCTGATGGACAACAAACAGGGCTGTACACAGACTTGAACATGTTGCACATTTGTAATTGCTCACTCTCGCAAACACTCTTCAAAAGCTCAAACAAACACTGAAGCCCTGCACACACACCGTCTCTCTCAGAGCACCACAGAAACCCACAGTCACACACTTATATGCACGTACGTACACACGCATGCTTCACGAACACAATCCACCGCCGGCATGACCTCAGCCCGCCTCGGCTTTAACCACAGTGGAAAGTCAAACTACATAATTGAAAGGATAGCAGTCAGAGGAACCCTCTTGATTACTCAGTGCTTCCAGCTCCTTCCAAGCGGCTCTGCTACACATTAACTGGTCAAGCTATGTGTTTGCTCTCTTTCTCGGCTTGAAACAGGCAGGGACAGCTCATCAATAGTGCCATAAATCAGTTCACAGCAAATATGAATGGGGACTGGATGTCTTTAGCAGCCTGCGGGTCCGTTGCATGAGAAGAATCGCACCCCGCCAACGGAAAGCTGACTCATTCCGGTCCCATCCATTTGTGACTTGTTTTTAATTTCATGCATTTTGAAAGAAAAGTGAGCGAGAGACAAAGGAGACGACAGAAAACTTCTATAAAATCGAGAGACGGATGATTCTGTTTCTTCTGTTCTCACTTTAGAGCTGATGTGTTTCCAGAGTGCTCTAATAAGCAGCGAGTTCCTGACACAGAGCAAATGTGGCCCCGAGTTCGATGATTTGCTCTAGTGCTTGTAACACAGATTGGCTTTCCTTCTTTGACATGTTGTCGGAGCACTGCCATTAGAATAAACCGCAGGGTATTAAGAACAATATTAAATACAACCGCAACTAATCCCCTCGCTCAAATAGACGCAACTTTCCCATCCAGCTCAAACATGTTCCAGTGTTTAATAAGTGCACATAGGAGAAAATTAGGATTAATGTTTTTGCCTCATGGCAGTCAATGAGTGGTGGCAGTATCACACTCACAATCTATTTTCACCTCATGGCGACTTTCACCAATGTTAAGCCACAGTACGGAGGCTTTCGAAATTCACATTCGAGACAAGTGTAATAAAGATAATTGTGAGTTCAACATACACAGGTTTAATCTTACCAGCAAAGAGGGCAACATTGGCATGCTTGGCATCATATGGACAGCGTGCCATCCCACTGATCTCCTCTCCCAGAGCCTCCAAGGTGTCCATCTAGGGTCACAGATGAGGTGAAAGGTCAACAGAGGGTCAAGACAATGCAGTCATGTTGTCAAACAAACAATGCAGTTGAAATACGGCTTAGACAGGAATTGTTGGTTCCCAGTTGGAGGAAAAAGATCTAGAAGAGGAAAAGGAGAAATGTGCTCAAATGTCAAAACAATGAAAATCTGACGGCACCGCTAGAAAAAAGAAAAAAGAAGTACTGTGTTAAAATGGAAAAATATGATGTGAGTCAAAATAGTCCCAAAAAGTTGCGGTACCCAGCCCAGGAGTGTGTCCATCTAGCTCTGACCTAAGCTAATATCCAGTGGATGGAACTGTGGTGTCCTACTGAGAGCTGTCAAAGCAGCCCATCTGGGAAACTGTCATGGAAGAAGATAAAAAACAAAACAAAAAAAAAAAAAAACAGACAATTTTCCACAGAAACATGTTTCACAGTATGGGTGGACGTGGTTTGCTTTCCCCCTGCCATCTTTTATCCTTCGGCTGGTTCTGGTGTTAAAGAAGAGTTTTAATAACCCTCGAGACAGATCTTTAACCCATTTACTGTGGTGCTTTCCCTTGCCCTGATTTCTCAAGTCTGTGCTTTTGCTGTGAAGAGGAAAGAAATGGGCAGAGGGAAAAAATGGGTGAGCACATGGCCCTGAGCAGGGAACGTGGGGACTTTTTACTAAAGCTCAGTAGTTTTTAAATAGTAGATCATACAGTAGTCATTATTTTCGATTTTGCAGCCTTAACTTTGTCTTAAATGCTAGGAGCTTTTCCTTGGGCGAGACTCCTACTTTTAATTCTTCACCTAGACAATGTATAAGTTGTCTTTTCTTAGCACTGGGAGTGTATTTTATCCAAACTTTTTTTGTCATTCTGTCACTCAGTAGTCCCATTTCCATGAGTTATTTTAAGGCCCTCTCCATTGTTTAAGAAGCACTGCTGGTCTAGTTTAGGGCTTAGTGATGATCTCTGTGAATTGGAACTTAGTTTTTTTCTTGTTTTGCGCCCTGGTTGGTTGGGGTATGATTGGCTGGGCATGGCAGAGGATCAGATGTGGGTGAAAGGTCAATATCATCCCACCCTGGGTAGGCTTGTCTTCCCCAGCAGGCCATAGGATGCTCTGTTACCCTGGCTAACGACCAGGGCTACACACAAACACAAGAGAGAAGAAGAAGTCATATTACGCTGGCCAGAAGCTGAGGCCAGGGAAGATTACCGAACGCACTGTTTGCCTCCAGAGTTCACAATACATAGTAATTTTTCTTCTCTATCTCAGTTTCTATCTCTCTCGTATTCTACTTCCTTGCTTCCTCACTTTCTCCCTTTCTCTTCACAAAGAAGAGCGCAGCTCGCCAAGGCTGCAAACTGCTTACGCCGCCCTTTCTGGTCTCTAAACAGGTCATTTTGTTTTCTATTCCTGTCTCGGCGGAAACGGTTATCATCTGCCCACTAAAAAGGTCACACACACTCCGGCGCAATGCTGGAAAAGCCTGCCAGAGAAATTGTTGAGGCTGATTTGGCAGAGAAAATTACAAGTGACCTTTTACAACAAACACAGAACCACCAGCAGCAGCGCATTTCTCGATTTCTCATTCCTTCTGTTTCTTCAAAAAATTATAGGAGGATAATATATGGAGGCGAGCTGGTTTGAAGATATATATTGTTATTAGACAGGGGAGACTGTAATTATAGATTAGGCTGAGTTAATCATAAGGGACGTGAGTCACTGAAGGTCAGGTGCGTCCACTGAATCACAGCGTCTGTGTGTACAGAGCGACAGGGCAACTCGGTTAAGCTTGAAACGTCAGCAGCTTCTGTGTCAGCTACCTTAACACAAACACTCGCGCCTCTGACACACAACACACACTCACATATCTCTCACGCCACAGCAGCTACCCCCACCCTCACCATCTCCTCAGTTGATTTCACTGAGGAAATGACCTCTGTCTACTGGGCCTGGCTGACTGTCACTGATCTATTCCTGCCGTTTGAACAGAGGAAGACACTCCCAGCCCGGCCACTGATATTACGTACAGCTCCAGTCTCCTGTCAAGTTGGCATGTGCGGAGAAACAACAGCCCGTGTGCTCGCTTGCATGCTGTTAGCCTTGTCTGAAGCAATACTCCGTATTCTTGAAAGGGGCAATAGCAATCCATAAAACTGCCACAATCAAGCACAACATTTTGAAACATTACCATAAAGAAATTTGATGTTTAAACAGCCAGATGGATTTGTTTACCTTGTTTACCAGGCAAACCCTATTATGCTGTAACCTCCACTAGCTGCAAAAAAAAAAAAAAAAAAAAAGAAAGAAAGAAAGATGTGCTTCAGCTTTGTAGAAACACAATTCAAAGTAATGGGAAGGGAACAGTAGTGCTGTCACACTTCGTCAGCGCTGCCTTAACAACACACTGTTCAGTGGGGATCTATTGTAGCTTAGCAGATGAATGTACAGTAACCTTGGCTCAGAGTGCAGTGTATCTAGATGAATTAATTACTACAACAGCTCGTTGGTGTTTTCCATAGGCTATATACTAATTAATTAGACAAACACAATGTAGATCCAAAACATGCCCATCAGGAGTGTTATAATTGGTTCAGCTTCACTACTCAGGGTGAGGGACACGTTCTACTTCTGTGTCTCTGTTGTCTTTATTGAGGACCCTGTTATTGGCTTTATTCATCACTGCTGAGGGATTTGTGAAATCTTACTAAGGACAAACTTAGGGTAAACTGAGCCAGCATCCCGCTTATTAACTGTTTGCTTGAAACAGCTTCCTTGAAATATTACGGACGTGTTTATTTTTTAGAATAAGCACAGTAAAGGGCGTCTTTGCTGCTGCAAATCGACACTGGTTCCAAAATAATCTTAGATATGAAGTTACTAATCTGTCGGGAAGGGTAGCCACTAACAGATGAGAAAGGCCCCAGAGGAGAAAAAGAAAAGTTTTTAAAAAAGGATAGATCTTTCTTCCACCAATCGATATTGTTATTGAGCATTTTGCGGCTGAGTTGAATCCCTACACATTTCTTGATATGCAGTCCATATTTCCACACCTGCACAACTTTCCTCTTCTACAAAGGTCAAATACACAAGTTCACACCTGGGTCAAAAGTAGTTGTGTAAACCAAACAAGGACATATCTCCCTGGGAGATTAATAGTTGTGGCCCACTTCTCTGCAGCCTGTGTCTGAGCCCTGGGAGGATGAACTCTTTTCCCTGACCACCTTTTACACCAGAGCAGGAAACTGGAGGCTCTGCAGCTGTTGAAAGAAATGGAGGAAGGAGGAAGGAGCTCATTTATCTAAACCTTCAGCTTCTTCAATGATTGATCTTTTGGAGAGAAACTGGTGAACATACATTGCACAAATACGTCAAGAATTTGTGGTCTTGCAATGTGCAATCATTAATTACCTCTTAAAATGTAAGCTGTTGTCTTTCTTTTTAATTAACATTTTGTCAATCAAACAGCTGCTGGAAAAGCAGCAGCACAGAAAGATGTGGATGATTTTCACCTTGTTGATTAGAGTAAATCCCTGTGTGTGCATTCATCATATTTCAAATGCAAAGACTTGACACAGATGAAATTTCCCAGTACACCTCAGTCCACCAGTATCAAGTCGAGGACACATCACCTGGGACCCACTGCCTCCAAGACTCCCCACTGATTCCCCCCACTTCGCCCGGCAACCGGCGATGAAACTGACTCCAGTCATATATCAGCCCAGCTGGATGGGGTGTTTATTATTACAGCACAGCAAGGGAGTGACAGAGGGAGAAAGCAACAGAGGGAAAGATGGCAGAGTGGTGGGAGCAACGGAGGGGGAGAGGAATTAAGGCTGGCAGGAGAGGAGGAGAGAGGGAGGGGGGTGGGTGAAGAGAAGAGAGGAAGCTGGGTGCTGTGTAGTGTCGAGTGAGAGAGGACTGTGACATGGCTGTCACAGGTGTCTGTCTGTGTTTTTTCTGTATGCATGCATGTGTGTGTAACCAAGCGCTGACACTACCAACACAAGGTGAAGTGAGGATAATGAGAAGAAGCTAAAGCTAATGAACATTCGTAGGGTTTGCGGGAAGGAAAGAGGTAAAAATAAATAGGTAACCAGGCAGGGAAGGTGTTAGAACAGAAAACAACATGGGGTGTTGCTGGTTTGGGCGGGTGCCCTCCCTGCCCCCTATGTCTCCCCCCTCCGTCTCCCTCCACCTCTGCTCCCCTCCGTCCCTTCCCACTCGCCCTCGCAGCGTTGTTGATTAATGTGGGATGAGGCTGGCCCCGAAACAGAAGCTCTTTTCAGCGCTGTCACACTGGGGAGATGGAGAGGCAAACTGTGGCCAAGGTGGATTTAACCACAAACAGACACACACAAATTCACACACACACAAATACACACACACGCACGCACGCACGCACGCAAGCACGCACACACGCACGCACGCACACATTTGACCGAGCAGAGTGGATGAGCCCAGCAAGCCATCAAAGGCCTGGTATCTGCCCAGAGAGCCTGCCAGCCTGCCAGCCGTACAGTGTGTGTGTGTCTGATGATTTAGTAAAATGTGTGTGTTGTACGTTTGTGTGTTTGCACAGTTGTCAGTGTTTGTTTGGGGGCCTTCACACTTCTGTGGCATTTGTATGTGCATTTGCATGATTGTGTGCATGTGATTAGTGGTACTTTTTACAACATTCAATATCAACAAATTCCAATATCTTACTCCTTTGACAGCCTTAACATTTAATCAGATTTAGAAATGGCATATTGATTCAATTATTTCATGATTAAAATGGCTATTTTGTTCAACCAGAGTAATTACAATTAAATTATTATCAAAGGGAAAGAGCAGTTGCAAGCATATTAAATCGACTCATACAATGTCATTATGATATATGTTAAATGGCCGGAAACAAAGAAAAATATTAATGAACAGTTGAATAAAATAATTATATTTTATCATATATTATTCCTCATTTATTTTGAGATTAGGGTAGCACCACATCCATCGTGTGAAGTAATTCATGTACACAATGATTGATTTTCATGTTTGCAGAGGCAACCGTGCTTGTGTGAGCGTGCGTGCGTGCGTGCGTGTGTGTATATGGTCATTTTAACAAGCGTCTCTGTGTTTTACAACGCTTTCCCTCAGTTGCCCTTAACTCCACCAGACTAGCAGCAATATCAGTGCAAGCAACAGCTAAAACACAAACCTTGAAACCATAACTGGAGTAGCTATAAAAGCTAACCACGCCTGATAAATGCGGCGACATAAATTCCTCTTTCCCTGCAGGAAGAGTCAGTGAATTGAAAGACGTCCACTCTGTGTGCTTAGCATGCTGAACCACAAAGCCAACGGAGCGGAGATGTCTTGTTTTTCTGGTAAACAGATCTAGTGAACCAAAGCAGGAGAGTTTTCCCCGCAGGCCCCCTAGATAACATCTCCGTGTGCTGTGACCATCACATCACATCCTAACAAACCAAAGAATAACATCCTTCAGGACAGAACCTCTACTGAGTCGCTCTGTCTGCTCTCCTGTCATTCTTACTGTCTGCCTGTCTGTCTGATTGTTCCTCTGTCTTTGTGTGTTGCCTGTCCGATGTTTTTCATATCTGAAGTTCAAAATAGTTTCCCCTCCTGATACTTAAATGGAATGACATTGATGTTAAAACCACATTTACTGCACTTTTGTAACTATTAAATACAACTCAAACACTCAATACTAATTTAAAATGACCATATTTTTTTCAGTAGTGAGTTTAACTGTCCTAACACTAGGTCAGCCAAGCTGCTGCAAGAGCATAAATATTGTCTTGTGAATGAGCAAAGATTTTTTCATTGTAATGGCAATCCCGTTCACTTTTCACAGCATGAAGGATCAGAAAACATCACACTTATGTCACTAGGGAAGGAAAAAATTGGGACATTTTGAGCAGCTTGAAGACAGCCTGTCTGCTTGTCATGTTTGCCTTTCTGTCGGCTTGTATGCTTTAAAATCAGTGGGTTTTATGTGTGCATGTTTTTTTTTTTGTGATTGTCCATCTGCTCCCCTGTCTATATTTTCCTCACATCTCAATTTTAGTCCACTAAAAGTCAATCTTGATGTGTACCTGCTCTCTTTCTTGATCTGAGGTCATTAAAATGCATCTTCACAAGGTGGTTTTGCTTTTCCTGCAGGAATCTTGAAAGTATTCCAGACATGCCTGCATGCACACAGCCAAGCAGGCATCTGTTTACAGAGGAAGGCTGAATCGGCTTTCAGGACTGTGCCTTCACTTGCGTTTCAGTGTGTGTGAATGAGTGTATGTGTATGTAAGAAGGTAGGTAGTTAGGTTTCTCAGCTTCTAAATCGAGCGTGTCAAAGTACACCTGGAGATAAAGACATAGGAGGAGGGCCTGCTGATCTGTGAAAGCCATCCATCTATGTCCATCGTTCCATGGCTCATGCCCCGAAACTCCAGCATGGTTGGGGTTGAAAAATACCCATGTGTGTGTGTGTGTGTGTGTGTGTGTGATAGATGAGAGAGAGAGAGAGAGAGAGAGAGAGAGTGTGACAGAGAAAGAAAGACAAAGTGAGATTGGACGGGAGTTTTAAGGAAATGTACGTGCACAGTATGCATGACGTATATCCGTCACTGAGGTCAAAAAGAACACCAACAGTAGTGTTTATATGTGTGTATTTGTGGGTGCATCCCTACCTTGTAGGTTCGGCAGGAGGGGTTGAAAGCATTTGTTCCACAAACAAACAAGGTGTCATCATTTTGCTGCAGGAGGACTTTGATGAAATTGTGACACTCATCCTTCAGGGAGCGCAAGCCGGGAGAAGGAAAAAGAGAGAAAGAAGAAAGGAGGTCCATGTTGACATTTGTTTCTTTTATAATACACATTTTTTCACTGAAAGCCGCATGTGGTTTTTTTGAATGGGCTCTTTCTTTTCATTCTTTTGAAGAACAGCGTGAAGCGCTCTACAGAAAAGTGAAGTAAGAAGCATGCATAACCAACATCAGCATATAATCAAGAAATTTAGCATTTCCTCTTGGTACATTAAGACATGTTAACAGCAGATTTTAATTTGGCGTTCAGTGTCACATTAATAATGAAATCAATATTCACTTTGCACAGTTTTGTTAGAACTGTACAGTAAATCCAGAGAAGATACAATTATACTGACACTGATAGCAGAAGGTATATGAAGGTAGGGAGTGTGTTATTGCATCTGCAGAGTCTCCCGTGTTAATGTGTGTGTGTGTGTGTGTGTGAAAGAGAGAGACCGTGTTTAATTACATCTGTTACAGCTTGTCTATAATGTGTGATTCGCTAAAGAAGTGTTTTGTGAAGAATAGGGTGACATTTTTTCTATAAATGAATTTAAGGTGTAAGCAGAGACAATGCGGCATTAGTCAGTGTGTTTGATTGTGTGCGTTTTTCTCTACCTTGTGTTTCCCTTTCATTCTGCAAGTGTCCACGTCTGCCTGTCTGGACTTCCATGTCATTTTCTGGTAGATGGAAGTAGAGGAGAGGGTGAGAGACAGAGAGGGAGTAGGTCAGAAAGCAAACAAGATAAACATTGAGGTAGGAGAAGGAGCTCAATAACCAATCCATACTGTGATCAATAATCATCATCTGAGATTCTCTCTCATTGATTCCCCTCATGAGGCACACGCTCTGAGGTGAACTTTATTCCAAGTGCTGATTGGAGATCAGTTTACCTCCTTGAACTTCTAAATCTCTGCCAGAGAGGTGGAAATACGATACTGACCCTGGATCAGAACAGAGTCTGTCCAAGGACAGATCCTGTCTCAGAGCTGAGAGCTCGTTTCTGTGGATTGATAGGTTGGCTGGCCATCCTTACACACACACACACACACACACACACACACACACACACACACACACACACACACACACACACACACACAGCCTTGGCCTGTGGGTCAGTGCTACCCAATACCTGTCAGTCAACTACAAACACCCTCTTTCATTGTCACACACACTTATCAGTCAATGCTAAGTCATATCTGGTATCCAGCCATACATACACACACACACACACACACACACACACACACATATACATATATATAGACACACACACACACACACACCCCTCTCTGTCTCTGCCCTGTGTGGCCTGAGGGTCAGCACTGAGCCGCTGGTTCAGTCCACCGCGTACTCGCCGCGGTTGTACAACATGTTTGGAGCTCGGCCACTGATTAAAGACCCTCAGTCATCAATCAATCTGCGCGTCTCCCACCAGCCTTTCATCTGCAGCCTGCTCTCATTAAGACCCACTTGTCGGGCGATAACATTGAAGTGGATGAGGTGGAGGCATGGCGGGTTGTTGTATACACGGGAACGGCCTTGTTTGAATTCTGTTTGCATGCATTATGTTAAGGGCAAGTGATGCCAGTGAGGAGTGGTTGGAACGGTGGTTGGAATGAAATGGAGAGTGGGTTATTACAGCTGAGGGTCTATGTAAATATGAGGCGCTTTTTGAATAATCTGAAAATATACAATGAGCTCTTTTTCCCTTCTGGATCCCACTTGTCTTTTTCTCCCTACTGCAATTCATCTCATCTTACCATTCCCTCTCTTTCTGTCCTTTCCTCCCTCCCTTTTTCCTTCTTACGCTCTTCTATCCCCTCCTCTTCCTCCTTCTTCTTCCCTCCCTCACTTCCTCTACTGTCCTTTCAGTGACACCCATCAGATCTTCCACTGTCCCACTGATGAGCGTGGATGACGCAGGCGTTTTGCTAGCTATTGATTGGATAATCTTCTTAACAGGGTCACCATGGTGAGCGCGCCAAGCTCACACCGCTGAGCGGGTGAGTAAGACTGCTGGCAGGCACACATATATGCACACACACATACACCCACGTGTACACGTAAACACACAGTGGCACTCAGAGCCAGGTTATTAGGGTTACGTTGTCAATCACAGCACGCTGAGAACGACACGTCCTCAAGGAGACAGACGTCTCACTCACCTTACTGAAAAAGATCTCGTCACCGTTGGCAGTGTCTGTGTCCACCGTGTATATGTGATCCCTGCGAGCAATCGAGGGAGGGTGAAAGAGAGAGAGAGGGAGAGAGGGGGGTAGAGAGAGATTGAGAGAAAGGAGAGAGAGAGAGATGAGAAGATAAGAGGTCAGTCAGCAGCAGACAGTCAAAAATTCAACAAACAATAAACCCATTTCTTTTCTTCGCTCTGCTTTCCCCCTGAAGGCAGCAAACAACGTCAGAAAATAGGGCTTTGTATAAACTTTGTTCAAACTTCAAGAAATGACAATAAACAAAAGGAGGCTAGAGCTATTTGCTCTGTCAGACAGAAACAGTCAACAAAGGTTTAGAGCACTGTGGCGCAGGCCTGGGGACAAAAGCCTCTTTGTCCCAGAGAAAGGTCTTGAGGGGGGGTAAGGGAGGAGGGGAAGGTTGAGACGGGAGGTGCCAAGTCACTCAGAGCTGTTCAGGTCAATTAAGCCTAGTGTTTGAGCTACAGGAAATCTATACTAACACTCATTATAGCTCAGACAAGAAGACTTATGTGTGCTGGCCTGGAAATATACAGGCTTCTCTTTTATTACAAAGTCCAGCCATATAGGTCCCAGCAAGGCATATGGAAGACATAAAAACCCACAAGGGTTAACTACATCAGAGACAGACAAACCGGCTGGTTGACCAGGCATGTAGCTACACCTACTTACCGTGGAGAATTAGGGTGCAGACAGGGAGAGGGAGGGTGCAGCGGTGAAGGGGGTCGGGGGGTGGGGGGGGGGGGGTGGATGAAGGTGTAGAGATGGTGTGAGCGGAAGAGACAGAAAGAAAGAAGGATTTACCTCGTTTGAGGAGAGAACCAAAGGTGACCGTGCCAAACGATGTAACTGCTTTAATTTGTTGGAGATTAGCTGTTGAACGTGTTTTTAATCAAAGTGTGTAACAGTGGCATCGTCAGACTCACGGCTTAATTACGTTCCAGCTCCCCAACCTGCGCTCAGCCAGCCAGCCTGCCTTGCTCTCTCATTAACTAAATCTAATAAAGTCTTTGGAGGAACAGGCATCTTGAAATGAATCCACTTATATCGCTTTCCTGGGGGCCACCGCCATCTCCTCCAGGATAAAACCCAGTCTACTGTACATTATCAGCCACCATGCTTAAATTGAATAATTAATCTTTGAGAGCAGCTGAAATTAAGAAAACAGTGTTGCTCACAGCTCCGGTGAGCTCATGAACAAAATCTGTCAGTGAAATATTTGATTTGTTGTCTGTCGCTTCTCCCTCTTTCAATGTCGACAATGAAATTAAAGTCAAAAACGAAATTAAATTTTTGAAATTAAATGTCAAAATTATAACACATCACATGACTCTACAGTACACCGCGATTAACTCACCTCTGCAAACATTTTCGGCTATCCTGCCTTCTCAGAGTGGATATTGTTTACGGTTTCTGTATATACAACCCATTGATCAGTCATGTGACTTACAGATCATGACGTACCACAAACCATACAGGAGAATATATCATCATCTTTTTAAATGATTTACAAAATACTATATTTACTTTGAGATGACAAAGACACTTACAACAGATGTACAGATGACCATGAATACGAAACACATATTACTATAATATATAATATTACTGTTCATGCAGTACAAATACTACCACTCAAATCTCTATCTTTATGGACATCTACTAATTTCAAAGTCAATCTGCAGTTGACCTTAATACATACACTTCATCCCTCACTGAGTGTTGTTAAAAAAATTAAATAAATTTAAAAAATAATAATAAAAAATCCTGTTCTTTTGAAATCCACAGAAATCAAAATTTTCATTTAATATTTAGCCATGAAAAGAGAAAAGGAAAGAAGGAAGTCAACCTCAGGTCACTGAGATGCCTCCCATGTCCTTCCTATTTTCAAGTTCACTTGCATTAGCAAATGCCAGATGCTGACTGTCACTGTGCAGTCTGCCGTGACGTAAAAAATCGAGTGTTTCAGGCCAAAACCACAAACTCCACTGTAAAATGTTTTTCATTAAGGCTCTCCTTAGTCGCACTACTATTGCACTGCTCCAGCTAATTGATCTGGATTCAATTTCCAGGGTTCCTGAAGTGATTCTTTCACCTTGCTTCCAGTGTAACAGGATATGTAAAGGCCAAGAGGCTAAAGTAAACGTGATAATTAAAAATGGCAACTGTAATTTGTCAAACATAAAAAATAAAATCCATACCATCCCATATAAAATAGAGTAAAGACAGAGAAGAAGAACCATTTAAATGGATAAGAAAAATGACGGGTGATAACAGTGATGGATGATCTCACTATAATGTTCAGCTCTGTTACCTAAAGTTCAGCAACTTGTTCATTCAACTTCATTTATATCTTTATATTAAACTTCCAACTTTATATTAAAAAGACAAAACTAAATCAAAAGCTATTAAATCAGAGGATTACTTGGCGGATTTAGTGTAATCCCATGGGTTATTTTACTGCCTGCAATTTTAAAACAGCTCATGAGTAATGTGTAATTGACTGCTCCATAATTTTCGACAGTAACCTTCCCAGCTATCCTCCCTGTCTTGTGCCTCTCTTGTCCTGGTGCTGACAGCGTCCTCGAGGGCCGAGGCTTTCCAGCCGCAGGGTTTTTGGTTCCAGCAGAGATTAGAGGGATCCAAGCGATGAGGCGTCCCTCAAACATCCTGACTGGAGATAGAGGAGGACAATGGAGCGGCTGTGTCTGTGTCAACACCAGCTCTCCAAACACACACACATGTGCAACAACACCCCCACCCTTATCCCCCCTTACCCCTTACCCCAACATGCTCACACAAACACGCACATATGCGACCCTTCGATTCTTCACCACTGCACCTGAACTCATATTACAACATATTCACTTCCCCCTGGTGCGTGAGTCACGTCTATGTAACTTCACGGTGAAAAGGAGAGAGTGAAAAGCGGAGGCAGGGTCTTCAAGGACTACACTGGTGGTATTGTATGTTGTAGGTCATTAACTACAAATCAAAGACAGTTATTGCGCACCATTTTCCAAAGCAAACCTAAAGTTTTTAAATTGATGTCCTTGCTTCCAGGCAGCCAGTGGTTTCCATTTAATTAATAACCTTTGAAAATCAACTTGCAGAGAGTTGAAACCTTCTTGAAATACATGATCCATCACAGCCAAGATTTTTATTGCTTTTATTTCCAGGCGATATTACATTATTGTCACAAGGTACAATCTGACTTTTGACATTCTTTTCCAAAAAGCTTTGCATTGACAAACTGTTATTATTACTGGAAGTTATTGGATGATGAAAGTAGGGCTGCAACTAACAATTGTTTTCATGATTGATTAATCTGCCCATTATGATAATTGGTGATAATTTAGCTCATATTTTCCTGGCATGAAAAAGACAGCTGTACTGCCATAGTCTACTGACCCAGGAGCCTAAAGCCAAGGTCTGATTTCTGAGTTCCTGCCCGCTGAGCATATTTCAGACTAAACAACTGACCTGAGCAAAAGCTGCCGTCCTGCTGCGGCGGAAAGGTAGCAAAGAGTAATCACACAACCAAAATTTAATATGCAAAAGCCTGTTCCCATTTGCAATGAGCAGTTCACTGTGAATACAAAAATATGTGTTCTATTGTTTATTGTTTCCTAGTATAGAATCCATTTACACTACAGATGTACACAGTTACATTTTACTTGTAAACTTATTTATGAAAATGAAAAATGTTGTATCAGTGTTCCTCCACTTAATTTGCATACTATGTGGACTAATCCAGGCATTATAGATCAGGTATGTTCCAACAAATGAAGTTGGAACTCTTAATTTATACCAACTACAACGTGTGAGAAAAAGCTGTAATTTAAAAGCAATGCCAGCGTCATTTCATTTATTCTTTACCTCTTTGTCATGAATTTCACACATTATAATGAATGGTTTATTGTAATTTATTTATTTAATTTTATTAATATTTTTGTCATGCTTGAACACAGTTCCTATGTATGCCACAACCTGAGTTCTGTTTGTTTTATTTATTTATGTATTATATTTGTTTATATTTTGGCAAAATGGCACCATTAAAAGTGTGCCAAATTAATGCAATCAATGCATGGATGTACAGACAAATATTAGTCGTTGACTTTGATACTGAAGAAAATTTCAAAACAAGATGATTCTCAGGCAAGTTCTGGAGTTATAAGGAAAATCTTTTGCTGTGATTTCTAAGCTGATTTGTTGACGTTAATTCATGAGTGACATTGGAAACAATTAAATCCTCAGTGGAAAATGTAAGACACACTGAAACTAAAAATATGTGTAACATGTCTGTGTGTTTAGATTTGATTGAGTTACGACTCTAAGGAGTGTAATTTCTGAATGCTTTCGGGCGCCAAGGGTTCCAGACTCAAACTTACAGTCCAGTCAGAATTGGTCAAGTGTGACCAGGCCTCAAGTGACTTCATTTACTGAAATCCATCAGATGATGTTTTGCTGCATGTCATTACCTCTCAAACATGCTCTGAAGACAGCACAGTGAATGCTACACCAAACATAAGGCTCTATAGGGGCTGTGCTGTCAACGATGAAATTCAAAACACCGCCAAGATTCTGAGGAAAACGAAATAACGGAAGCCTTTGATAACCGATGGGTGCCGTCAATGTGAATCACTTGGCGTGGGCTTCGCATTTCCCGAAATTCAGCTGCAAAATTGTGTGAGTAGGACGGAAGGTATGCAAATATCCTCTTAGACACAAATATGGAGGCACTGTTAAAGGATGGGTACAGACAGAAAGAAAGAGCTGAAAGATGAAGGCTAGACAGTAGACCCAACTGAGCGCGGGCGAGAGTGTGAGATTGAGTGCAGCAGAGTGACATAGAGGGTCTCCATCGGACATGTAGCCATGCGTGGCCATGAGAACACAGGGGCTTTGTGTGGAAGAATGTCGTTTTCATAACAGCGCGTTTCTTTTGGGGTGACCGCAAGCCAGCTTGGTCCATCTGCTGGGTCTTTGTCAAATTATCTCGCACTCCAGCAGCAG